GTTATTACTTTTAAAATTTTGAATTTTGAATTTTTTAATATTGTTTTTGAAACTGCACTCAACCAAATATATGCATGATATGTATATATTTCTTTATGATTTTTGAAATAATTTAGCGAAAATAAAAAAGAATTGTCATTCAATGAAAATATTAATATGGTATATTCAGACCATACAAAAACTTGCACTGTTTAAATTAATGATAATTTAATTCAGTTAACGTGATCTAAAGTATATAAACGGGTTATAAAAAATATATTTATAAAATATAGAAAGCAATTACTTTTACATTGCACCTATGGGTGTTAAATAAAAAAAAACTACAAAAATATGATTAATTTATTATTTATATGTAAAAGATGATAAAATTAATTAGTATTGAACTTTATGTATATTAAAAATATTTAACTATTTAGTAAAACAAGATACTGGAAATACTTTTTTGTCTAATTATAGATTTTTTAATAGTACATGGATATATATCTACAAACATATAAAGAGATTTATGGAGTGTCTTCTCAGTTCACTAATGATATATAGTTTGTATGAAAATTTTTATGTAATATAAATAGTCATTAATTTGTTTAAAAATTATATTATTATTTAAATATATATCAAATCATTAAGAATCCAACAAATTTTACGCTATTTTCAAACTTTGATTTTCCAAAAAATATAATTTTTTTATATTATTTTATAATTTACAATTAATTGGTGGTAATTTATACATAATTATAGGTTTATCCCATTATAAGTATTCCATGACAATTATAGAATACTAGTTTTCTTTTAAAAAAAATTAATTTTTAGTAGGAAATACGAAATTTTTAAATAAAGTAATAAAATTTGGTGAGAAAATTTTAAAATAACTATTTATAGACTTCTAAAGTTTTATGAATAACTTATTTACAACTGTTCTTAGTTAAATAATGCCACACTTTACTAAAAAAAAATCATCAAATTCCAACATAATTTCAACGTTATGTTATAACTTCTGTTGGAAAATTAAAACGGAATTTCCAGCTTTCTATTGAAGAAACTGATTTACTGATAAAAAAATTGTTAGATGTTGACGATTTTAAGAACATTTTTTTCCAATAGTTAGAATTATTGATTGAAAAAGTCATTCCAACAAAAATTGTATATTCCAACTAAAATTCTTAATATAATAAACATTAGAAAAAGTGTTATTGGATGTCAAATACTAATTAGTATTAATGATCTCGGTTGGAATATTCGTTGAATTTTCCAACAAAAATTACCACATTGAAATATATGTCGAAATATTTAGACATAAGACTATTTGTAATATAATATATCTTTTTTTTTAGACATAAGAGTATTTGCAATATAATATATCTTTTTTTAGTCACGCAATACATCTAAAATGCTTCCCAAGTTTGCTAGAGAATATTAGATTTTAGATTATTTATATACTTCACTTTCAAAATATGTGGATTGTTTGAATACTTCTCACACAGTAATTGGTCACCTCGACCAGAACAAGAGTATATAAATAATACTTTATTTAGGATTTATATATCACTGCACTATATATATTGGAATATACAGTTAAAAGTCAGGACACAGCACATGTGGCTCCTCAATTAAGTTGTTAATTCTTTGGATAACATAAACTAAATCTGGTTTATTTCATTATTTTATAACGTTTTATTGTGTGTTTGATTTATAATAATAAATAATCAACGTAATCAATGTTAATCCACATGCGCTATACAGTTTATATATTCATCACTATTGATTATCACGTTGATGTGTAAGGGCTTAGTCAAATAATCGCCCACACAAAACGTGGCTGTCATTTTCATATAAGATGCACGACACATACTACACGGATTGTTTGAAAAAAAAATATAAAATATAAAATAATAGAAAAAACACATGTTGTTGTATAATAATTTCAACTCTTTAAAATATATTAAAAAGATCATGTAATATTCTATAACTATTTCAATGTATTTTTATAGATATTCTAAAAATATTTAAATAATTTATTTACCATAGTATTCATCAATTTTTTTTTTGTTTCAACTCTTTAAAATATATTAGAAAGATCATGTAATATTATATAACTATTTCAATGTATTTTTTATAGATATTCTAAAAAGATTTAATTAATTTATTTACCATAGTTGGATTGAAAATATATGATATGCAAGTGGCTATATATGTGTCCAATTTATTTTTTAAAATTATAGTATTTTTTTAATTTAAACTATATAAAAAAGTTATTATTTACATTAATTATATAAATAAAATAATATATAAAGATAAATATTTTATTTTGGTATTTCGTGAATTATGTCTAAATTTTTTATTATAATATTAAGCAAAAAATTCTATTTATTTTTTATTTTGGTATTTCGTGAATTAAGTCTAAATTTTTTATTATAATATTAAGAAAAATTCATATTTAGACGGTATATAAGATAGAAAACCTACATTAACTCCAACTCATGCCTCCAATTATCACCATAAGTTCTCTAATTCTTAATAACTTAAAACTGACCTAGTTTATTCAATAACTTGGAAATTTCTACAAGAAAATTATCTTCTGCATATTCTTAGGTTGGATGGAAATTTCTGCAAGAAAATTATCTTCTGCATATTCTTAGGTTGGATAATATCCCAAACATAAAACTGCAATTTGAGAACCTAGTTTATCCAATAACTTGTAAATTTCTGCAAGAAAATTATCTTCTGCATATTCTTGGATCGGAAGCAAAAATTTATTTATTAAGTATTTTATTTTAAACAATTAGGGAATATATCCGAACCAAAAGTCGAAGCATGTAATGTTTCCGAAGCGTGCCAGACAGCCATTTAGGCTCAGCACGTTTTGGAATTATATAAAAATATGCAAGTGGCTATATATGTGTCCAATTTATTTTTGTAAAATTATAGTATTTTTTTTAATTTAAACTATATAAAAGAGTTATTCTTTACGTTAATTATATAAATAAAATAATATATAAAGATAAATTTTTTATTTTGGTATTTCGTGAATAACGTCTAAATTTTTTATTATAATATTAAATAAAAAATCCTATTTATTTTTTATTTTTGTATTTCGTGAATTAGGTCTAAATTTTTTATTATAATAGTAAACAAAAAATCATGAATTAAGAGGGGATATAAGTAAAGGGAGATGAACAAAAGAGTAATTATGAATTATTTTTATTTTTGAATTATTTTGCTTCGCTAATACAATAGTGAACAAAAATCGTTGCACATTTTATTTTCTATATCGGTAAATAGCAACTGAAAATTTTGATACTAAGTAAGATTTTTGTGTTTCCATGCTTATCCGTTGTTAATCCGCATGCATTCTTCCACGGTGTCCAAACAGATTAAATAAATCCATATTTTACAATAGAAAATGTCTTTTGGTTTGTGACTCAATTTTATCATTAATAGAAAAGTTTATGAACAATCGCTACGTGTTGTTACTTTTATCATTAATTACTAAATATCATTGTCTTTTGGTTTGTGACTCAATTTCAGAATAATTTATTTATCTCTTGGCTTTGGATAACTGTATTTATTAAGAAATTTAAAATGTATATTACATGTAAAAGAGCCTAAATTCTCATCTCCATGTTGCTACAAAATATTGGGCCTCCCAATAAGCAGGACTACACGGCCCTGCGTTTAAGCCCATGAATATCAACCAGGACAGCCCAAAACTTAAGAGACACTGTTTCCGAGTTAGAAGGAAACACAGTCTTTTCCCTTAAAAATTTTGGTTTTCTGCAGATCATTGAAATGCATTATGGCAGTGATCATCTGCAACTGCAACTGCCAAATCTGTGACCACAGGCTAATATTACTGTCCGTTTATCTTAAGGGTCTCAAACTTACAAATATTTCAAATTTGACACCAAAGCAGAACAAGAAGCACAAAATCACTCACCAAAATGTTTCTCCCAAGAATCACCAAGAAAACCAAAACTCAAAAGTCCAAAGTTGCAGATTCAAGCCCCAAAATCTCTCCAATATTTACAAGCAAAAGAACACAGCAAGACTATAGTCAAACCAGCCAAAAACGAGCTATACACTACTAGGATGATCGAAATATGCAAACTCCATAACCATAAACCAAAAGAAAAAATGTAAAAAAGGAAAGAAAATCCACAGTTGTGACTGAAAGCAAAACCAGAAGATGCCGCTTGAATGATGAAAGAAGCAAAAATGCAGACCAAACGAACAAACGGGTTTGTTTAAGAAATGATATACAATAAACTCAGTTAATTCAACTCATATGATGATATACAATGGCATTATGGTGTGCGTACCCTCTACAGAAAAACCTACTCCACTCTAAAACTTGCAGAGTATTCAGAAAGTGAAATAAAAATGAGATAAGAAAGCAGTTAGTCCTAAATGAACAGAGATATGTATATATTTTACACAAACAAGTCAAAAAAAGATTCATTTTCCTTCCCTTTTTGAGTCCAACAACCCTACTAACCTATATGTGACCATCAGCTTACACAAGAACGCCTCACACGCCCATGTCCAAATCCAAATCTAAATCACTCCACCAAAAGTTATTATCTTCCTGCCTCCCAGGCTTTAAGAAATCCAAATCATAATCATAAACCGAAAGCTCTCGAGTCGGATTACTATTCAACCCCTCCAATTGGGCTGACATAAGACTTCCATTTGTAGCCCGGCCCATTTCTCCACCATTCGATCCTCCCACAGCCTCAAAACCCGATTCCCTTTCTTGAGAAGAAGAGTTCAACTCAGCAAGCAGCTCGTCCACGTCAAACATCTCTTCGTTTTGGAAGCTCGCTAATTCATTTCCCAAACTCTCCCGATTTTTCATACAATGTCCATCATCTGGTACGGCATTGTTGAAGTCTATTTTTACCTCTTTCCCGATTTCTTCATCTTCTTTCGCTTTCTCCTTCAAAAGGGGAACTTCTTCCTCCTCAACTACTTCCTTTTTCACGATAGCCCATTGATCATCACCAAGCTCTTGAGGTATCGGTTGATTATCATGGGAAAACTTCGATAGCCCTTCATTATCATCCGTTTCTGTATTGTGTTCGGGTTTCTTTGGGACACCCCCATTATGACAAATCTCTGAAATACCTGAGTTTGCAGAGTCTGATGATGTTTTTGCAGCAACTGGAAAAGAATCTTTGACATTCTCTCTCGACGGGAAATTAAGACGGGCGCACGGGCCGTACATGGCGCGCGCAGCCTCGTCGTAAGCACACGCAGCCTCGGGAGCACTGCTGAAGGTCCCGAGCCATAATCTGTTCCCTCTGTGCGGCTCTCTAATCTCGGCCACCCATTTTCCCCAAGTCCTCTGCCGAACCCCTCTGTAATTGCAGTGGGCGTTATCGGGCCCACCTTTGCCTTTCATACATCCCTTTCTTGATCCCTTGGCGGGAACTTTCCGGAAGGGTTTGCTTCCCTTGTCGAGATTCGTGTTGTACTCTTTCCACTTCTCGAGAATCTGGGCTACGCTAAGGTCACCCGTCTTTCGGCATCTTGAATTACTCTTTCTCGTTATATTCATCGGTTCAGGAGTCGGTATAGAATCTATTTGATTTAGCAAAGTCATTTTAGTATCCCTGTGTGCCAGAAAACAAAACAAACCCAAGTTAGCTACCAAAACTTGACGAATGCAGATTTGAAGAAGGTAATGGACCAATCACATCGAACTAACCAAAACAAATTGAGAAGTTCAAAAGTTTCATCTTTTTCTGAATACAGAAGATCAAGATTTGTAAATCTGCCAATACCCCAGACAAGAGAGTTGAGCTATTTCAATAACTGTATTTGTTCATAAACTTATATGTGTTTACATAACTTGGGGGGCTACATCACTACCTATCCAGATAGATCTAATTCTAACCCACCTTTTACAAAACTAATAAAACCCTGACTCAGAGAGACACTAGGAAAGCATATTTTGATTCTTCAAAGGTCCAAACCAAATTTTGATTCTTTTTAACAAAAGAAGCACCATTATAAGAGTGATCCTCCCATTGGGATTACACAGGCGACCAAAGGGACTAAACAAAACAACATCCTCTCTATTTGGTTAGAAGAAACCAATTTGATTTACAGTTGTGAAAAAGATTTATCCTTTTGAAGTTCCCAGTAAGCAAAATAAACCCATCACTTCCCACCACAACCCTCTCATTCCCCAGCAATTTTTTTTTTTTTTAAAAAGGAAAAACACAGACAGAGAGAGAGAGAGGAAGGCAGAAAAAACAAAGACAAAAGCAGATACAACAAATCCAACCCAAATTTCACATATTTTTCAACACAGAAAACCCAAAACCCTCTTTTAAGATCCCAATCTCAAAAACAGGGCCAATCGAATCAATTAACTAGACGAAGAACAATAACCAACGCCCAAATCGCCCAAATAAACAGGAAAACAAAAGGGTATCAAGAAACCTATACAAAACCCCAACATAAGAAAAGCATTCAAAAATCACAGACAGCAACACATACCTCCGGCCAAACTCCGCAGACATGCGATTTTCCCCAAACCCGAAAAGAAATCTTGCACGCTCTCCACCAATATTCCAACTTTATCCACTTATCAACAACTATCCACTCGATTTTTCCAGTGAAAAAATCCTCCAGACAAATAAAAAGAGAAAAGGGTACGCGTGTGTTGTCAGCGTCCACTCTTTGATTTTTGCGCGACTGTAATTACCTAGCGAGCAATCAGTGTTGAAGGAAGAAATCTTTGATTACGAAAAGCCGGCACCTATTAATAGCCTTCTTCTAGATATTTCCCCCAAAATTTTTTATTACTATTGTATAATCGAGATTTTCTATTGGTTTTTTTGGTGACGTGGCGACGCGTACACCGAAGATCTTGGCAAGTGTCAATTGAAGCTTCCCGAACCGCACGATTTTTGCGATGGGAAGGGGGGACTTGGGATTGTGTGCCACTGTACGTGTGCGTATTCTTTTTACTTGGGAGCTAAGCAACGGTCTCTCGTTGTAAATCTCTTTGCTATTTAGTTTTTGACCCCTGAAATTTAGTCAAAATCCGCATGTGCCCCTGGTTTCTATGCTATTACTTAGCCATTACTATATGATGACATCTAAATAACTTATTTTTACAATTTGCTATATATATTGTATATACTTTTGCAGACAACCAACTAGGGATGGCAATATTGCAAAAAAAAAAAAGAACCAACTATATAAAGTTATAAACTCTGCATTTTTTTCATAACCTTCCAAAACATGATTAATTTTGAATGTGGTATTTGTAGAAATTATTTGGTTTTTAATGATATTTTTTTCTAATTATAGACAGATTCCAAATACTATTCTCACCCACGAAAAACCACCAATTTTCGAGTCATGGTCCCGCCGCTGCCTTCCTACGACGACCCTCCTTTCTCGAACCCAACTGAATCACTTCGTCTCGTCAAGTTGACTTTAAAATCAATCACCAGTTTCATAACTACCTACCAAATGAATCTAGTCAAAACATGTGATCGCTGCAAAAGGGTTGGGTAGAATTTTATCGTGAAAATAATCTAAATAAAAAACTAGATAAAAAATGGAGTTCGAGTTTATCAATTTGGACAAAGTTGTGGAAGAAGCTATTCTCAATGCGCTGGATCATCCAAAATTTTATTCTCACTCTTACAACTAAAATCTTAAATATCCATAAACCTTTATTTTAATAGGTCTCATATATATGTTTCCCACTTACTCCATTTTCTTATATCATATTTATATATATTAAATAATATTTTTTTATAAAATTATATTTATTATTTTAAATTGGAGACAGTTATTATATATATATATATATATATATTTGAATTATGTATTGTTATTATGCTTAGTAATATTTTTTTATGTATTTGTATAATTTTAAATAAAGAAAATAATAAAGATAAATTTTATTGCGCATAAATCTTACAATAATATAAACAAAAATTTATCAAAATGCTTCTCCTAACAATTAGACTCACTCCAAATATGTTCAACAAATTCAACAAAAAATATTTCTTATTTTTCCATGTTTACTCAATCTAAAATTAGGTAATATTCATTATGTATTTATTCATAACGAAATTTTAGCTACACTTCATACTAGATTTAACAAATATTATATTTGTTTAAATTTTATTATAATATAAAATATTTAATTTTATAATTGATATTATGGAGTTGGAAAATTACCTTTTATGGAATAATTTTCAATGTTCCAAATTATTTGTAGGAAACTTTTGGATGATTCATTTTTATGGATTATTTTTCAATGTTCCAAATTCTTTTTAGGTAACTTTTGGATGATTCATGTCATAGCTAGATAATGTAATGGGTCAAGTAGTCTTTTTTTTTTTAAATTTTATTTTTATTTCTTTTGGAAACTTTAGGAGAATTCATATAAACATCTCGATAAGAAAATTTTGCAATGAATTAAGTATTATAAATAGTAACATATATTTTATTTATAAGTATAAATAATTAAATATTTTTTTATATAATTTAGTTGTTAGGTTTTGTTTATCTAATTATATTAAATAACTTTATATATAGTTTTTCAAATATTTTAATTTATAACCAACATAATTTAATAAAAAAGTCAGCTTTACATTTTTAAACTGGTGAAAATATTATTCTTAAAATTCATGAGACCAAAAGACGGGATAGAGCCACCATTCTATCTCCATGATTTGCTTCCTTGGGAGAAAATGTTGTATGTTTACTAGTAAAACGTACATATGTATGTGAAAAACGTGAAATTATTTTATTCATATTACATTATTATTATTATTATTATTATTATTATTATTATTATTATTATTATTATTTTAATCATTATTATTTTAATCATTATCTTAGTAACTTTTATATACCACATAGATTAAATTATAAGTAGTTGAATTTTTATAATGAGTATTATATTATAGAATAATAAAAAAATATAATTACACTTCATTATCTACCTCTATTTTTTTATTCTTATGAAGTGAATGAATTGTTTTCTAGAGTGATCAGAACAAAATGAGTCTGGATCTCCTGCGGGAATAGATAAAATGTAACAATTTTATCATAATTAACTTAGAACATAGGCAAATAATTTGTTCTCTTGCATTTATAGGATAGCCTAGCATTATACATACTAACATTCGATCATGTGCATATGTAAAAATATAATATTAAAATTATATTTGATTTTTTTTTTAATTGAAGCTTATATCGAAGCATGCACTTAAAAAATCTTTAATGTTAAAAATCTTTAGAAATATCCACAATTCTAGATCTATATATATTGAAAGAGAGAGGTAAAAAATCAATTATGGAAACTTCATAAAAAATCTCAGTCAACTCATTTGACTTACTTATAATAGAAACATTTTAAATCTTCCGCAAAAAAACAATTGTGAGGATTTTTATGAAATCCGGTCAGCATGTATTTCTNCAAGCGCTTTTGAGGATACCGAATTCCATATTTTTCTACAAAATAGTTCATGCGCTTTTGTGGAATTCGTGGATCTCATATTATTATTATGACGGAATTTAATCCACCTACAGGGTTTAACATAACAATTCTTCATGAACTCACTTCGGGGACATCATCAAACTAACGCACATGGTGACCGTAAATATCCTAACAGCACATCATACATATAACAATATTACCCAAGACAGTAAGAATATTAATCCAGCGATTTGAACCTCACCCTAGTGAATTAAAGTAATATGTATTGCATGTATATGTCTGTTTAAGATCTTACGGGTTAAGAAGAACGCAGTAATTAACCGACGCTTTGTTCGTTTATGAAGATCAGTATAAAACGAATTTCTCCTCTATGGGATCCTGTTAAATACGTAAATGTACTAGTGCAACTAATCGGATGGGGTGTTCATTTCCATATAGGTTGTGAATCACAATTTTTGTTTTGCATGTAACTGATAGAATGATCTTCTGTTCACCCGATGACGACCCATTCTATCTAAGTGCAAAACAACATAACATATAACTCGTTTAATCTAACATGATTCTCATTCATAAAAGGTCAAAATGTAATATCATCCAAATCCAAACTTTCAATATATAACACTAACACAAAGTACATAACTACTTCTCATATAAAGAGAAATTCCACAAAAGCAGAGGAATATGATGAATTCAAAAAATGCTTGAATAGGAAGTTACACCAACTCAAAATTCAAATAAATAACTATTCTCTTTATCTCTCTTCCTCTTTTTTTCTTCACTCTCTTCCTCCACACTTCTTTGTTTTTTTCTCTCTTCTCTCTTCTTCTTCTTCTTCTTCAGAATTTAATACCTAAAGATAAAAAACAACAACAAAAAAATAAAAATGAATCAATTGGTTATATACATAATAAAAATAAAATTGCCTAAAAGCAATGAACAAAATGTTAAATAAAATTAACAACAACAATAATAATAAAATATAATACATACAGACAAAATTATAGTAAAAAAATCAGATGAAAACAAAGAACTGAAAAAACTTCGATGAAACAATAAAACAATAACGTAATAATAACAGTTAAGCAATATGAAAACAACTGTTAATGCATAACAATTAAAATAATCAATATTTAACAACACCATATTTGATCTTAACATATCGTCTTCACATACACAAAAAACCAAAACAGGAAGAGTAAATAGAGTTCACAAGAAACTACCATCTTATTCACTAAAATAATCTATGTCAAAACTACAAACAAATCTCACAACATGAAATCAGAAAACTAGACTAATCCCGTGATTTTGTAGTTGAGAAACAAAAATTAAAAGCCAACATGCGTAAATTTGAATCAGAAACACCAAGGCAAGGTAGCAATTCCACACCCTACGAATATAACTACAAAACACAAAATGAAGCCGTATTTTAAAAAATACAAAATGCATAAATTAACAAAAGTTGTGAAATTGAATTAGTCACCAGAGTGAGGAATTGCATAAACGAAAGTATTCTTAAACAGCGAAAATCCTGGAACAAGAAAGAAGAAGAAGAAGAAGAAGAAGAAGAAGAAGAAGAAAGAGGAGTGGTATCGAATATGTGAGAGAAAGAAAGAAGAAGACGAAGGAGGGGGGAAGAGAATAGAAGAAAAAACTATGAAAAAAAAGGGAGAGAGAGAGAAGGAAGATAAGGAAGAAGAACCGTCAATTTATTAAAAACCGATTGATGTATATAAATGACTTTAAAAAATACAAAATAAGAATACAATGGAATAGAAGTAGAATAAAATACTTAAAAAAGGAATAAAATATTTAAAAGAAGATATACAATATCTTTAAGGGCTATTTACATAAATCCTATGTGTTTTGAAAATAATTGTGACTTTACGATTGAAACAAAAATAATTGCATCTATGCTAATTTTCTGTGAAATAATTATTGAGTTGCTTAATATCAGCTTCCAAACAATAAAACGCACGCCCTTAAATTTCGCAGCTGATGTGTATTGAATAAAGAAAAGAAATATATTTGATATATGTGATAAAATATAGATATCCTAAACAATAGCTTAACCGTTTGATTGAAAAATAGAAAGACAATAAATTTGAAATCTAGCTTCATCATCTCCTAAAAAAACAAACAAACGATGAGGAAGATTCTCTTCCATGATCAAGAGCAGATTTTGAGAAGAATAAAATTAGAAAAAACGTATATTTGTTTCCTTTGAATATTGTTCCGAGTAGGGAGAGAGAGGGACCACCATCCAAAGCCATGGAGATGACGGATCTTTCTTTTTGGAGGTCTCTGAGAACTTGTGTTTGAAATTCACCATGGTCGTGTGAGAGATGAGCAATAATAATGCGTTATTTGCGGAGTTGGTTTTGATTTTATTTAATAACTACAACGAATAAATCTATCTTAATTGAAGATAATATATTTTTATTCCCTAAACTGATGTCCGTGTATATGCAAATAAAATCCCATGATTTTGTCATTTTGCTAAAGTTTATCTTTAAACCGTAAGAGTGTAAATAAATTGTCGACTACTCGTCCCTCGAGTAATTTTCTCTATATCGGGTATATCTTTAATTCGACGAAATGGGTTTATGACTCCTTAAAGCCCAATCAAGAAAGAATCCCCAAAAATCAAAGATAAAACCTCCATTTGGGCTTAAAGAGCTGCATACAATTAGACCCCACGCAAATCCAATTTTCGGAAACCACACTACACGTCATCGATCCATCTTGATTTTATCATACAACCCATCTCCCAACCGTCGATAACTATTAAATCTACGATCAGAAAACAGATCAACTGAACCCTCCAGATCGCAAATAGAAAGCCAAATTTCACCCCCAAAAAAACCCCAAAATTAACCGCTAAAATCATCGGCCCTAAAATTCGAATCAGCCCCAAAATTCAGATCTCCCCTCGCATTTCTCTCTCTATATCATCCCTCAAGCTCGCTCACAGATCTCAACCAACACAAAACCCAATCCAAACGTCGTTCCTACGTTTTTTCAAAGATGTCCGGCCGTGGGAAGGGAGGCAAGGGGTTGGGCAAGGGCGGAGCAAAGCGGCACCGCAAGGTGCTCCGGGACAATATCCAGGGAATCACGAAGCCGGCAATCCGGCGCCTGGCGAGGAGAGGCGGTGTTAAGAGGATTAGTGGGCTGATTTACGAGGAAACGAGAGGAGTCCTGAAGATATTCCTGGAGAACGTCATCAGGGACGCCGTCACGTACACCGAGCACGCCAGGAGGAAGACAGTGACTGCCATGGATGTGGTCTATGCTCTCAAGAGGCAGGGCCGTACTCTGTACGGCTTTGGCGGTTGAGCTCTATTTTCCCTCTATTTCGTATTATTAGTTTTCTTTTCTTGTATGACTCTGAGGCTGAAAAAAAGGGTAGTTTTTTATTTATTAATTTTTATTTTTAATGTTTTTTCAGATTTGGTTTTATTGTTGTGCAATTGAATGGATTGTGCTGATGAACGATTCTGAAATTCTGGATTCTTGCGCTTTATTTTGAATTTAATCGCTTGAGATTTGATAGTGTTATGTAATAGTCATATGTTCTTGGGGTTTTTGATCTGCAAAAAAGGTTTTTGAAAACTTTAAGAAAAATTACTTGGCAGGTAATTGGTCAGCTCAACTTTGCTTACCCCTTCAATCAACTTCAATTAATGGATAATAGTGCTTCAAGTTAGTTGAATCATTATTCAAGAGTTTGAAAGCTTGAACCTAACTCCATCTTTTATAAACATAAACTGATCATTAATATATGTTTAAATGTTTTCAGTCATTTTATACAAACTGTTCAAATTAGTTGCTCTTATATAAACTGTTCAACAAATTTGCTCTTACATTTTTAAAATTAAAAATAACATGTCTCAATTAGTTGTCATACCAATTTGGTTTTAAAAATAAAAAATATCATGACCTGGCCGGGTTAATATTTGGAGTCATTTGGTCACTTTGGTTTGGTTGATTACCTTGTTTTTTGGGCCCGGATGATCCACTTGGACCGACTTAGCTCTGAATTGATTGGGTCATGGGTTGACCTATAGTTCCTATTTGGGTTTTTAAATAGTGATATTATTATATGTCTTCTTCCTTTAGATAAGCAAAGTCATATTTGATAATGTTAGTTGATAAGTTAATTTATAATTTATAACTTTTAAGTAAATTTTAAGTTTATGGTTATTTTCAGTTCAATAAACTTAACTTATAGCTAATAAACTAGTTTATAATTTTTAACTGAATTTTGAGCTTCTAACATATAATTTATGATTTATAGCTGAAAAATTAGTTTATATGATAAAAGTGTTAAGTAAAATTAGATGATAAGTTAATTGAAATTAAAATTTAATAATTTTATTTAGAAAGCTACTCAAAAAAACTTATAAAATAAGCTCGTATTTTTAAAAAACTTGTACCAAATTAAATTTATTTAAATACAAAAGTTTAGAAGCTAATTAAATAAATTTTAAATTAGCTCATATGTTTACTAAACATCATGACACCTAGGGCTGCTATTTTTTGACCGAAAACCGAAAATCGAAAATCGAACCATACCGAACCGAACCGATGAGAAAATAAATCGAACTGACTTATGTGTATCGGTAACCGATTATCGGTTACTGAAATGTTATCGGTTCGGTATCGGTTTCAAATCCTTGAGGTTCGGTTTTTACCGAACCGAACCGATAAGAATAATAAAAAAAAATTTTAAAATATTTAGGATTAGGCTTTTGAATAGGTAGATTAGTTAAATAAAATAATAAATTAAGTTAATAGACAACTAATTAATTGGTCTTAAATCATAATTAATTAAAAAAAAGTGACGGATATTATACAATAGGCTGGGACCTGGGAATTCAAATTCAATAGTTCATCACTTCAGAAATTCATAATCGACTCAATCGAGAGCCTCGACTCGGTCACCGCTTCACCTCACCTTCACTATCACTTCAGATCAGCTCCTTCACCGACTCACCTTCACTTCAGAATCGAAAGCCTCGACCTGGGACCGGGGAGTTCATTCCATTGTTCTTATAGTAATTCATAGTGTTTTTTTTTCAGTTGCTGATATGTCTATGTCGAGACTGGTGGTGTTCTATTTTTTCATTACTCATATCTGTCTCGAGCTTACAATTATTTTTACTTTTATTTTCTTCTGCTCTTTCATTCGAGGCGCCTTGAATTTGGGTTCAACTATCTTGACCAGTATCAATATTCCTTTTTTATTCCCCCCTTTGATTGAATTTCATGATTTTGTGAAGAGAAAGTGGGGATTTTTGTGCGGGGATTTTTCTTTGATGGGTTCTTGCTGCAGTGTAAATTTTATTTTGTGCACTGTACATCCGAGTGATAGGCAAATGTAGCACCTATGTTGACTTGCTGCTGCTGTTGTGCTGTTCTTATATTTGGGTTGCTTCATTAGTTCATTCCATTGTTCTTATAGGATCTTGGCTGCTACTGCTGCTGCACTAAATTATAGTATTTTTTCGGTTTTTATCGGTTTAAACCGAAACCGAACCGTTTTATCAGTACCGAATCCTTATCGGTTCGGTTTCGGTTAAGTGATAGTAGAATAAACAAGATGAAGTTGAAATTAAATTGTCATTGGTGTTCGAAATATCTTTTCTACTATTTGTGGATCGGATAATTTATTTATTTAAGTACACACAAGTGCGTGCGAAAATTGAATGCATGTGCGTTGTACCTATTTTCAAAGTCAAATCCACCCCTCAATCTTCATCCACATAAATTCCACGTCACAAAATCTCAACACAATAAATTGCGAGGCCCCAATTTATATTTATTTATCTTTCCGATTGGGCCAGCCAACAACCTTACGCCACGAAAAGACGACAACTTTCTTCAGCCTTCACACGAGAAATGAATTAACCAAACAAACAAAATAAAAATGGAGCCGCGCATTTTCGCGGTCAATAAACCTCCTCCGCCCCTCTGTGCGATACCCAGAGGATTTCAGAACCGCCGCATTAGCTGCGGTCGTCGCCGCGTCTTCACACCGGCCGCCTGCCACCGCTCGTCCACAGATTCCGGCGGCGAGGCGCCACGACCCAGGCGGCGAGATGTGCTCATCACTCCCCTCCTCTCCGCCGCAGCTCATTACGCCCTCCGGTCGTCGGCGGCGGCGAAGGCCGACGAGAATCTGGCTCCGAAATTAGGGGAAGAAGCAGTAGATCCGCCGCCGCCGCCGGCGGAGGAGGAAGAGGAGATAAGCTCGAGGATATACGACGCGACTGCGATTGGGGAGCCGCTGGCCCTGGGAAAGGAGAATCGGAAGAAAGTGTGGGAGAAGATGATGGGCGCGCGGGTTGTGTACCTTGGAGAGGCCGAGCAGGTTCCTGTTCGAGACGATAAGGAGCTGGAACTTGATATTGTGAGGAATTTGAGGAGGAGATGCGCGGAAGCTGACCGGTCGATTGCTTTGGCTCTGGAAGCTTTTCCCTGCGATTTGCAGGTGCAGCTCGATCAGTTCATGGATAAGAGGTTCGATTTACCCATTCCCTTTTTTGTAAAGTATTGACTGTTAGTAGATGTGAGTATCAATAGCGCCATTTTCTTGAACTAAATTGATTTGGAATTTGCAAAATCAATGCATATGATAACTGTGTAGATTTGTTCCTACTGAAATAAATTGCTTGCCTTGAAAAGTTGTGGCATGTGACTAACTGACTATGGCAGGATTGATTTTGAGGCCCTAAAATCCCGCGTAACACATTGGCCGCCCCAGCTTTGGCAAGAATACGAGCCACTACTGACTTTCTGCTTCGATAATGGTGTTCGCTTGATTGCGTGTGGTGTACCGCTTGAGGTACTAATCGTTTCTGATTATATATATGTTTAAAAAATGCTTTTCTTTTTACTTGATACGTTCAAATGTTCTCTGAGTCGGATAATAGGTATTACGAACAGTTCAATCCGAAGGAGTCCACGCGCTTTCCAAAACCAATCGTTCGGAATTCGCTCCTCCAGCTGGCTCGGGTTTCATCTCAGGCTTCCATTCCATTTCCAAACGACCATCTCTAGTGAAAAACTTATCCAGCCAATCAGCGCCTTACGGCTCTAAGTCGTACCTTTCGGTACAAGCTAGGGCTGTCGAGGACTACACGATGTCCCAGATAATCTCGCGAGCCGTGACAGATGGTGGGCCCACCGGAATGCTAGTGGTGGTGACGGGTGCCAGCCACGTGGCGTACGGGTCGAGGGGGACGGGGTTGCCAGCTAGGATTTCGAGAAAAATGCCTAAGAAGAATCAAGTGGTTGTGCTGCTTGACCCTGAAAGGCAGTACATACGGAGAGAGGGCGAAATCCCCATGGCGGATTTCTTGTGGTATTCTGCCGCCAGGACTTGCAGCAGAAATTGCTTTGATCGAGCTGAAATTGCTCGGGTTATGAATGCAGCGGGAAGGAGGAGGGATGCTTTGCCCCAGGTTTGTTCCTAATGGATATCTGCTTCGAAACTTGGCATTTTCTTTCGAGATTTGATTTTAGAGTTTGAATCTAGAGATCTTTGATTTTCTGCTAATATATATGTCTCTAACTTCGAAAGATATTTTTACACTGGTCAGGACCTACAAAATGGACTAGATCTTGGCCTTGTATCGCCGGAGGTTCTCCAAAATCTGTTTGATCTGGAGCGATATCCTATTATCTCAGAATTGACGAATCATTTCCAGGTAAGCTATATTCAACTTGATCTTTTGCTAGCAAAAATATCGATATAAAAAGTTTTTATTTTGTTTAAATTTCTTAGTTCGGTATGGTTAATTTTTAAAAAAAGTGGTATGATTAATTGTTAGTGGGATTTTGATTTTATATTAAAATAATTAAAGTTGATTTGATTTAAAAGTAGGAGAGAGATGATATGAAGTGATGGTTAGTCAAAATTATGTGAGTGGATGTGATGTGTTAGAAGATTGGTTGATATTGTTTAATTATATTGATAATATTGAAAATAGTGAGGTTGAGTTACAGTTGAGTTGAGTTAGATTTTGAGTATAAATTGAATGTGGATTGAATTTATTTATATACAAACACACCCTCAGGGATTCAGGGAGAGGCTATTAGCGGATCCGAAATTTCTTAACCGACTAGCCATAGAAGAATCCATCTCTATAACCACCACCCTCCTTGCACAGTATGAAAGGCGAAAGGAGAATTTTTTCGAAGAACTCGATTATGTCATAACGGATACCGTAAGGGCAACAATCGTCGATTTTTTCACTGTGTGGCTTCCGGCCCCCACATTATCTTTCCTCAACAGCTATGATGATAATATTAATAGCTCGGTTAATGGCATGAATGCATTAAAGGGCCTTCTAGGCTCCATTCCAGACAATGCTTTCCAGAAAAATCTTGGCGGGAAGGACTGGAATTTGAGTCAAAGGGTAGCCTCGGTGATCGTTGGTGGTCTTAAGCTGGCTGGTGTTGGATTTATTTCGAGCATTGGTGCGGTGGGCTCGAGCAATTTGCTGTATTCCATCCGGAAGCTTCTGAACCCGACAATTGGTAGCGGGCAGCTGAATAAACGGTCGCCTGTACTGAAAACGGCAGTCGTGTATTCGTCCTTTCTTGGGTTTTCGGCTAACCTGCGTTATCAGGTTAGCAGCAAACTTTTTGTTGGTGAAATTATTTTTTCTAAACTTATGATTATTTTTCACTGATTATTAGAGTGAAGCTTTTCTTCTAGAATGAAAATCTCATAATCTGTCACTCCTTGTTTGTTCCTTGAGTAAATAATGAGAATAACTAGGTTNGGAGCATAGGTTTTCAGATCAGTTCTCTGACCAGCCATTGCTCGTAAATATGATATCATTCGTGGCTCGAACAATAAACTCTTACTGGGGAAACCAGGTCAGAAGCAGTGGGCCTTTCACACCTGTTTAAATTTCGCTTTTTCCTTTTAAAGAATTTCGATGCTTGGTTCTAGTGACTCGGGTCAAATTGATTTCGACGAATTCCTGTGTTTTCTTATTATTTTTCTTCTGTTTATCTTGTGACCTGAATAATATGAGGGATCTGACATCAGTTTTTCTTTTTTCTTATTTTCTTGAAATAAAAAATTGGCAGCAATGGATCGATCTGGCAAGATATACAGGAGTACAGTCTCGTAAGAATGAAGAAGTTAGCTTTCAAACTCAAGATCCTTCAAGTGCTGCCGCATTAGAATGCAATGGCGTAAAAGATAATGACATTGATGAGACGAACAAGACAGCGTGATATTAAGGGGGTGATTGGATATGAATTCAACTAGTAAAAAACTAGTTATTTTGTAACTATAGTTAAGTTTGGAAAAAGGTGGTATGGTTAGTTGTTAGTGGATATATTAAAATAATATTTAAAATAAAATAATTAAAGTTGATTTGATGTAAAAGTAGGAGAAAATGATTGGAAGTGATAGTTAGTTAAAATTATGTGAGTAGATGAATAGTGAATTAAAGTTGATGTGATGTGTAAGAATGATTGGTTGATATTATTTAATTATATTGATAATATTGAAGATAGTAGAGTTGAGTTAAAGTTGAGTTAAATTTGAGTTTTGATTGGTTTTTTTACTGTACAATTTGTATCCAATCACCCCCTAAGTTTTCCCACTTTTTTTTCTTGTTTAAAATTTAGTCTTTGAACAATTAAGGTTCTCCCAAGTTTTGACAGAGCTTACTTGCTGTATAGTCCGGAAGATCTAAAACACAACACTACTGAGCGATGTATTACATCATTTTTTCTCTCAATAAATTCGATTTATGATTTTTTGCTCTTCTGAGGACTTGCACTTATTAACACTTAACAGTTGTTTTTTAGCGTTGCACACTACTGCAAAATAGGGTTGTTATCGAACCGAACCGAACCGAGCTTAAAGTTTTCGAGTTCGAGTTCGCGTTCGACTAATTTTCAAACATGTTCGTGTTCGTTCTTTTATTAATCGAACAAAAAATTTCGTTCGTGTTCGAATTGTTCCGCAAGTTCGTGTTCGTGTTTGTTGACTTTTTTTTATGATACAAGTTAATTTATTTAATATTTAATATATATCCATATTTATATATTGATATATGTATATACCATATATAAAATAATAAAATACTTTTTTTGTTCGCGAAAACGCTCGATTATTTCGCGAACTTGTCGTGCTCGTTCGATAACTAAACAAACATAAATTCATTTTGAGTTCGGATTGATTATTACACGAACGAGCTTTGTTCGCGAACAGTTCGGTTCCATCGGTAACACCCCTACTGCAGAAGATATTTTTATTCAAATAATACTATAAGATCCTATATTATGTAAACTTGAACAGTATTTCCCAAAAACCAAGACTCTGCAATGAACCCATTTATAATAACTCCAGAATCTTATCAATGAATCCCAGTCACAGATCCAACTCAACACACACACATTACCATCCTTACAGTACATCATCAAATCCTTCATTTTCAATGGCCATTTTCTTTCATTTCTCCCAAACGAAATTTCCTAAACTCACAGTACTCTGTTTCCAAATTCAGCACACAACTCACAAGAAATCACACTGAGGAAAAAAGAAAAAAAAAAAGAAGAAAAAATCAACAACGTCTAACCTCGATCAAATAGCCTTCACATTCTGGTGCTGCACGACCATAACCGAGACTGGCGTGCTGAGGTCAGCCGCCGCCAGCATGTCCCCCACCGGCCCAAGCTCCGGCAAATCATTCCACTCGCTCAACCCCAACAACTGCGGCATATCATCTTTATGCCTCCTCCCCACCATAATCAGATCAAACTCCTCCTCCATAGCATGCACGAGCAGCGCAGTCTCCGCCCCATCCTTCACCCTCTCCTCTCTATAAACAATATTCTCCTGGTGTGCCCCTTGCAGCCTCGTGTCCTTCAAAATCTCCGCATCCAGCACCGCATCCCACTGACTATCCCCCGCAAAAATATCCCACGCGACGAACCTCACCACAGTAAGCTGCACCCCCGCCGAGAGCGCCATCCTCCGCGCGTACGCCAACGCTTCCCTATCGTCCGCCCCTCCGAAAAATGCCACCCCGACTCGATAATCCGACGACTGTCCCCTCCGTATTTTATGCCGGTCGACGAGTATCCCAACCGAGCACGGAGCCATATTAAGCACGTCGCAATTAATCGCGCGTAAGCTACTACTATCGAGTATCATCTTCCCTTGGTGATTCCATTTGCGGTGGAAGGGGAGAAGGATTAAAGAAGCGAGCTTGTTGAAGGCGACGGTGCAGATATCGTGGTGCATGAATTTCGGGAGTGACATGGCGGTGAACTGCTGGACGGCGATCGAGTGGCGTTGTTCGAGGGACGAGACGATTTCGATCATTTTTTGAGTGCGGGAGCCGCCGGAGGATTTCTGGCCGAGCTGATGGTCGATGAGCTGAGGGTGGGCTCGGCCGGCGAGCTCGATGAGGTGGAGGGCGTAGATGGCGAGGGGGCTTTCTTTGCCGGAGTAGGAGGATTCGAGGAGGACGCGGGCCGCCAGGGTGTCGTCGGCGCGGTGGCCGCAGACGAGGAGGCGGAGCTCGGAGGTCGGGGGAGTGTGTTGGACGTCGCGTTTCTGGTAGCCGGTGTACATGCGAGAGTAGTCGTACATAGATTTGACCGCCAGGTTGGCGCCGGCAGCTTGGAGGAGGACGGACATCGTGAGCATCGAGAAAGTCTCACCATCAAACGTCTGCACGAGAAAATGTTGCCATTCATCTTATTATTCAGGTTCCTCATCTTTTCTTTCTTAATGTTTAACTTCGAGTAGCCAAAAAACCAAAAGGGGGGTTTTGTAATATCTCGGAAAAATTGAAGGGTGTTGTTTTCATAAGATTTGACAGCATCCCTCAACTATTGTTCGGGGCGAAATGTAAGTGGAAGTAAACCGTAAGAGTCATTCTCATCATTTTCGAAAGTAGGTAAGTTTTT